TGAAGGGCTCGTTACGTGACTGTTATCCACCCGGCGGTCCTACGTCCCTTCTAAAAAATCGGAACACAGTGTTCTACCAATGATGTGTTCTCGTTCCAAATCGATTTATTTTGACAAGCGCACACTTCAGACCTTGTGGACATTGAACCTTGGTTTTTTGAAAGACAACCGACTGATGACAACCCACTTCAGCATCTGTCAGATTCATGGGGTTCTTCCGGTGTTTTTCGCACAAAAAAGGCCACATCAAGTGTTCCTGGAAATGTTTAGCTCATAAACCGAGTTTGCTAAATAAATGGCTGATTTAACCTGCTCGTAATTTGTTCCGCCCATGCTCGTTCTTCTGGTCAGTTAATGGAAACCGCTGAATCAAGCTAGTCGTTCTCTGTTGCGGAACAGTTTCCATCTTGGAAACCGTAAGTTGGTTTCGATGCGGGGCTAGTGATCATCTCAATAGCCTGGGTTCATTCAGTTTACCTAGAAAGTTTGGGCGGGTAATCAGACAGCACTCCTCTGTTTTCGTCCTGCATACTACTTCCATTTCGTCTGCTTGTTCAATTAGGAGTTCACGCTGTTTAAGAGTGAATGAATTACAAAATGTCGAGATGGTCCAGTGGTTAGAGCACGAATTTACTAAATGGAAGGCCGTGGTTCAAAACCGACCTCTACCTCTCGACTTCCACTGTTTAGGTTCGGGCAACCTGGCAGTATTCCAACCTTCATGCTTCCTTCGGGTGGCATAACAGTCAGGCACCGATGGAGTGCCACAGCTGGACAAATTTCAACACCTCTTTGAAGCAGTCCCGCGGATGGTGACATCTGTACGGTACGTTGATCGAATCGACCTGACACCGTCCGGTATACAGTCTATCGGAGCAGGTACCGCACCATTTCAGACAAACATACTGTCTGTTAGGATCCACTTCTAGGACTGAGTTCGAGTCTTACAAGATAGGCGACAATCACATTCATCTCAGAATTATCAGGACAAAATGTGACAATTCTGGGTTTGTCCTAAGCGGTCCGAGAAAACTGGTAAGGAGATAGAGTGACAGAAAGGGGCAGTTACAAAGTTTTGTCCAGGTCAAGGAAGAGGTTTCGTTTGAGATCCGCGATACACTCGGTTTTTGGACTGATTTGGAAGAGACCTGACAGGAGCAGCTCGCTCAATATTCTTACCCACATGACACCAGAGACATAGCACAGCTCAAAAGCGTCCAGGAATTATGACATAGGAAGTTGACATTGATGCCGCTGTGCCCGACTATGCTTTTGGAGACGCAATTATACAGTGGCAAAATTTTACACTTGGACGCTCTTTGGTTACTTAGAGGTAGAAAAATATTTTAAAAAATCGTTCAGATGTAGCAACCTTTCAGTGCCTAGCTGTCATGCCACACGAAGGAGACACAAGGGCTGGGATACTGTCAGGTTGCCAAAGCCTAGACAGGGGAAGTCGAGGGGCAGAGGTCGGGTTCGAACCACGGACCTTCCGGTCAGTAAATTCGCGCTGTAGCTACTTGGTCCATCTTGCCTCTTGGATTTGCAGATTCACGGCCACTCCCAAAATTATGGAAGTACTGGCCATCTTCAGGAAACAACTTAAATCTTTCACACTCCTGTTAGAGGAATGCATGCAGGAATTCCTCAACCCCGCCACACGTGACCCCATAAATTCTCTTAGCAACTTAGACTCACCTGTTTGTTAGACCCCTCCCTTAAGGCTTCACTGTGTCGACTGCACTTGAAAAGTTACGTTCTGAGTAGCATAACACGCAGGTTCATTCAAGTATGCAAGCTCCTCCAGCAAGCTGTTGTTTAGAAGCCAAGTCAAGACGAGATTTGCGAAGGAGGTGAATCCATTTTTTATGCCCACTAGACTTTGTGAGGGTGTAAAACTGCGTGTAAATTTTATTTTACGACTGATATGCTTAAAGAATTGAATCTGTTGGTAGTTGATCAGATGGAGGTTGATCAGTTCAATGAGTTTCGGGATTGAATTGCGAAGTAGACCACCTGACTGCTCACTGATGATGTCTCCTCGAGAGGTAACGAAACGTTTGCAAGTCGATCACGACACTCGGCAAACAAGTAAATGCAGCCGAGCTACCAGTGTATGGAGAAAAGCCCTTCGCCGTTGCAAAGCAGCACCCAAGGTTCCACCTTCCATTAGACGCGACACGGAGCCATGAGGAAACCACATACTACTCGCACGCTTCATCAGTAGTGCCTACCAGTACTATAACATATCGCCAGAATTTGTCAGCTAAGTAAAATAATTCAACGCACTAGCCTACAGTCAACCAGTCGATAAACAACCAAGCATGAGNNATTTCAAGCATGAGCATCGATGATCCAGATACAACTCTTTCCCTTTCCTAATTCTCCATTTCCAGCTTCAGTGTGCGTCGGATACAAAAGTGCCAGTCTGGAAGAAACATCTTGCCCGCCACAAATATGCGAGGATCACAACGATCTTGAACAAAGTCGAGCCTATCCAAAACGCCATGTTTTATTCCCACGAGTTGGAAGACAGAGTAGGCAGAGCATTCAGTGGCCCCGTCCGGATACCACATACAGTGAATACGGTCTGTGAGGCGAACAAAACAGTGAATGTATCGTTTCTGAAATAAACTTTTTCCAGAGCGAAATCCCTTCCATTGTTGGGTGACTAAGAGCTGGATGGTAGCTAAACACCCTCCGCGTTCGTGTGAATTACCATCCAAATAGAGAAATCAGAACAAAAGCAAGACAAATAGTTCTGATGATGAGAGGACCGTGGATCTGAAGAGTCAGTCATCACGTGATTTGTGGTGTGTTGGCTGCCCTGTTTCATTCACACAGTTCACCGCCGTTCCCACCAACGTAACATTCGATGCACCCCACGAGTGTAGGACCACTTGAATTGTAGTGCAGTATCCACAAGGTCTAACAACGCCTCTTCTAATGGCATATTTTCACCCTAGACCTAGCTGGAATGAACAACGTAGTAAGGATCGAAACGGTGTAGGATCAAAGGTTTGACAGAGAACAACAACCGGGTGGTCTAGAACGGACAGATACTATTCATCTTTTGATCACTTTACTAAGATGCATCAATTAGGGCGAACCGAAGAATGATTCTGGTTTTTCACTCTGAAGAACATCATTCCTCTGACGTTTGTGCTGCATTCTCAAGTAAGTTGATGATCCCAGTTTACCTGCGCGCTAACTAGTCAGTGGTTTCCGATGGAATTCTACCGGTCTGTGGAGATTTACTTTGCGGGAGAAATTGGGGAGTTAGGGACAGTTGACAGCCGGATTCCACGAATAAAGGTGTCTTAATTTAGAAATGCTTCAGGATGCAGGTGTTCTAGGACTAAGAGAGTGTTGTCTTGGTCATCCAATGAGCGACCGGTTGGGAAATTTGAAATTCAAATTTAGACGATTCTGAGGATCTACAGGCGTGCCCATCTTGTTGGGGATCATGAGTGATCGATATTCCATTGGGATGGCACGCGGTTCGACACATTTAGAGCTGAGCCAAGGCGAACTGGTGACGTCCAAACCACGTGGATTATTTCGTGCCAAGCTGCAACCAAAACGAAAATGGCAGTTGGTGCCGTCCTTGTCAAAAAACAACAACTAGAAGCAAGGAGCGAAATGTCTGGTGTAGCAGCAGTTGAGAGCCGCATCGAATCAGATAATGAGCGCGTGGAATTCGGAGAGCACTCCAGATGCCACAGAGTTCAAACAGGTGACCTTTTATTTAGACAGCACGCGAAGAGAACAAGGAATCCATAACTGAATGCACTCCATCACGATAGAGGTCAGTGAGAACAGAGGAATGAATGGGAGAGTCACTTGCTGTTCTGTGAAAAAGTTTAGTCCGAAATGCCCGGATTGCTCGCTGTGACAAGAGTGAGTTTTCAACAGTTGAAGCCAACTATTGGTTTGAGAAACGACGTTTGAGGGGAAACATAGATAACTCTACACCTTTCCAGTCATCCCAGACAGTTTCGATGAGGGTTCTATTCTCAGAAATACGAACGCTTTCATGCATACTACAAAAGTTACCGTTATATTGCATTTAATAAACAAATTGACTGGCTATCAACCTGAACTTGACCCCTACCAAGCTGGAGATAGCCCAGTGGTTAAGGCACGAACTTACTGACCGGACGATCCCTGGTTCGAACCACCCCGGCACTCGACTGCTCCTAGGCTTGGGAGACCTGGCAGTATCCCATGCCTCATGCTTCCTTCGGGTGGCACGAGAGCTACCCACCTGACAGATGGGAACATTGTGAGTAGTAGGGAGAGACCCTTATTTTCCCAAGGATATTGGTGTTGTGAATCAACCCCAAGTGATTAAGGTCGTATGGTTATTCGGGGGTGCCTGGTTTCCAGGCGGTTTACGAGCCGCCCAATCAAGAAAACCCATAGCCACCCATTAATTTAAGCTCAGTGTGGTTCAGAGCTTAAAACGCGAATTTGCCGACCAGAACGCCTGTAGTTCATGCCGACTGACCCTGTATCCACGTTCAGCAATTAGAGTAATTTGTAAGTAGTTTCGCTTCGTGGCTCTACAAGTCGGAGAAAAGTTGAAGAACTAGAGGAATCCAATATTTCGCTGGTGAAAGCTAAAAATTCATCACTACGGACTAATCGAAGTTAAAGGCGAGGATTCGGATCAAGTAAAAAATGTCGATAAAAAATTAAACCTCCACTAAGATTAATTAAACGAACAAACCGCCATTAAACATTAGATACTTATTTCATACGATCGAGAGGCATGGGCAGTCACTGCACAATATTTACGACATGGAGCTTCACCGTATCGACGACCACGGAACCGATCAAGATCACTCGCAGCCATCTAGAAATTAACATTAGAAAGACTGCAGGTGGCTGGAGCACCAACTTGGAGCTTCAGCGCTGAAAAACAATGCAGTTAATGCAAGCCTTTTGATCAGGGGTAATGTCCTCAGATGAACCAAACACCACAAAACAAAATGACCGACGGGTACAAAATGTGATATTTGACTGGTCGATAGGGATCTGAGAATTTAAAAAACAAAAATAACAGATCAAAAATTACTGGAAAAACTGTCACTCTTCACAGGAACGTGTTTGAAACAGCTAGAGATGGGAGGAAGAGCAACAGTTTTTCCCAAAGTTATCACAAAAGGGAAAGCAAGAGTGTGGATCACGGAAGTAGTTCGCGACGGACAAAGTTGAATAAGGTCTGAAAAGCGGTATGATCGGCCAAACTACCCTGAAGGATCCGAGCAAGCCGGCCAGCTTCAATCCACAAACCAGCCCGATGAAGTAAGGTCATACAATGGGCAGTGAATATGTGACCGCTGTCGTTGCAATTCTGTTGGGATAGGTACAATTCAATGGCTCGTAAGATATGACGAAAAAGTGGAGGACACACAGGGTGTGGTTCGTCTTTGATCCGCCGTACAAGATCGGGCCAGAGTTGACCGTGGAGACAGACAAAACAAACGCATACATCAACATCTAAAAGATTGGCCACAGAGGCATGAGCGCACAAAGTATGGAGTGTGTCCAACACTAGAACTTGGTCTCGTTGACAGAGGCAAATGTTGAAAATATTCGACTCCAGTGCCATAGACCACCGTATCGAATCCGATTGAGGTGGGATGCGACTTTGCTTCATGGCGTTGAGAGCTGCGACGGCAAGACCATGAGGTGGGAGACCATATTTGACCCATTGGTGTAGAAGAAGATAGGCACTTAGGTTGAAATTTGATTCTGCGAACAGTCCACTGCGGTGACAAAGTTCGAACCAACAGGCCCAAAGTTGAGAGTCCAAACGTTGCCGGTTTTTGCCGCGTTCCGTTGGCACGGGGGAATCTGATTTGAAAACAACCAAACAGAAGATAGTTTCAGGGAGAAAGTGAACGAGGTAGCTGGTGAGAAACCGAATGGGTGGTCTTAGTTCTATTCTGATGAGACGTGGGTTGTGGAATCGACTTCGGAAAGAACGTGATTTTCACAAGCTGTGACTAACACTGCGGCTGGACACAGGCCCCCTTACTCAGTAGTGACCAGTAGTAGATCACCAAGAGTTTCTATAAACCTGTGAAAAACCCACGCCTCAACTCCGGATCGTAATGCAGATCAACTATTTCGCCGATTACAGTGGCCAGTGGCCAAATGGTGAAGTCACAGAGCACCACATTTGCTTACATACGTGTGAAGTGTACCGGGGTTGATCACCAAAGGTATAAACTAATCTGTGATGATTGAGTCGGCAAACAAACAGTGCACTTCTACTGCTGAAAATCCAGTCTGCCAGAAATAGCAGCTGGTTAGGCCGGAAAACCGAAAAAGCCAGTGACAGAGAGAGCGATGGAGCGTGAAATCAAGTGACTGGGGTGAAAGGCGATAACTAAGATGAACAATAGTGTTTGTTGGTCTGATAAAGAGACGGTGAGTATGTCCAAATGAGAACCTAAAAATACATGGGAGTATTCTATCCATTTGCCTATCTATTCACCTGAGACTAGTATACACCTGTGGTCAACGGAATGCTCTGGTTACTGTGTCGACCATATGCCATCTCGATATCACGATAATTCGTTAGGGTGGGGGGCCGATTAAGACCAATGAACATCCTAAAATGAGAACACTCAAACGATGGCTAGTTCGGACCTTACATTACCGATTGTTGGTGTAGCGTAAGCAGGCAGGCCTTGATAATGGATTACAACGGGGATACTGCAATAAAGTTTCAGTGGAACACGCCCAGATAGGTGGCAGCACCTGGGCTCGTAGTCACTTGATAGAAGGAGCATAGGATGCCATGTCATACGAAGACAAATCCCGCGAATGCGTTCGACTGGACACCCGTTGAAACTAAGGCTAGATGCGGTTGACAACCAATATCTTTTCCTCCGCGAGTGGCCAAACACAAAATTAGAATGGGTCGGTGGTGAATTTGAGTTTTAGTTGTCATCCACTCCCAAAGTGGAGCTTTAAGCATCCTAAACCATGCTTACGCGGGAACCAGACCGAGATACTGCCCCTCTCGAACCAGGGTAACCAGGACCCCAAGCACTGAGGAACTAAGTTACTTTTTGGTTGCTTGTCAATGTTTTTCTCACACAAAAGGTAACAACTAAAGAAAGCATAATACTCGGGCATTTCGGCAAGGAATACTGAAACGGCTAGTTCTTTTAGACGAAAATTAAGCTATTTGCTTGACTATCAAGTTTGGGACAGGACATGAGTAAGAGAATTCATTCCCGGACATTGAAAATCACTTCTGTTCATTTGCATCCATGTTCAGTGGCCTCACTCATATGGATTCCTAGCGCGACTCACTAGTCGAGTAATGTTTGTTCGAGACGAGTGCTCCGCGGTTCTCAAGCTACACAACGTGAAGTCGAATATGGCTTCCTTAAAGTGACGCACCTGTGGTGGATCGACTGTATTTCGTCCTTAAAATCACTTAAGCTCCTACGGGTTCAACCATGCCAGGTAGGCCAGAGGGAGAGCAGCCCGACGAAGAACTGCGAGTCTCCGTCCTGCGAGTAATCGTATTATGGGGCGGTCTGAAGGTAAGGTCATACTTTCCTCTGGAATAGGAGCGTGAAGACAGTAAGGCGTTCCCCCAGACGACCCCCAGCATGTCCATATTTATGGGGCAGCGATGTTGCCTCCTCCTGAGGAAGGACGGATTAGAAAAGGTCAGCCCTCAAAACCGCAGGGCCCCCCTAGAAAACCCTAACCACTATCTCGCGGTTCCGACTCCTGAGTCAGAGACTAGCGGCAATCAGAACGAAGGTAATTTGTTCATTGGAAAGTAGCAAACGGTTCGAATCCATGACAATCACGCCAGAGGACTGAGGTGCGATTGGGAAATCTCCGAAAAGTGGTGAAACATACAAAGACATCATTTGCCATATGAAGTCACAAGCAATTTTATTCAGAACTTACCAAGACTGTCCCCGATCAACAGTAAGAACAACTCGATCACTGTCTGCATTTTATCGGATAAGTGGAGGAGAGTTGACCGCTGTCGGTCGGTATCCTCTGAGGTAAGGCTCAGTGCCTCAGAAAGCAAGCTTTCGGTGAACTCGTTTAGGCTAGCCGTGGTAGACGACAAATCGGATGGAATGGAAGCGATTGTATGCACCAGTGTTCGAAGCGTCGAGCACGGAAGGGTTGATTGTTCAGATAAAAACTCTAAAGATGCTTGAAATACACACAGTGGTGTGGGTGGCGGTTTATCCCACAATGAAGCCGAGCGAACAGATAATATCTGTGTCCACAGCGCAGAACCATGAAGCCTTCGGATGGCACAGTTGCACATCAACGCGCCAAGCAATTTGGTAAAAGTTGAATTAGGTTCCATTGTTCCATCGTTAAGCTCTGTAATCCGATTGACTGAAGTGTGGAGGTAGTGGAACAGTCGCTTCGGGCCCTGCTCGCGCTGGATACGATAGGTCTCCACCCCGTCTGTCATCATGCCTGACTCAGTTAGAATAAATTCAGACAAAGATTTATACGGGATGACCATTGAGGATGCCGCTTTGACAAGAAGACTTTGTTGTGTCTGAAGAGCAAAACGATAAGGGAAATGATTCAAGATTGGTAACACTAGTTATGCTCATAGACCAGTTCGGTCATGGGACACGCTAGTTACTACTCGATGTTCGGTTTCATGAAATTCAAAGTGGTCACGTTCACATCACGCGCACATTTGAACAGTCCTTCTGTCCTGGTGGAGTTAATTCTGGCGAAGAGGGTTCAAACCGTGGCACGGTCAGGAAAATGCACGCCTGATGAGCTTTGATAGGGCGAAACTCAAGCCCGTGCTTTTTTCAAACCGTGGCACGGTCAGGAAAATGCACGCCTGATGAGCTTTGATAGGGCGAAACTCAAGCCCAGTGCTTTTTTTTTAGTAAGGTTCACCAGAGTAATTGTATCAGGACCGGAAGACCCTTCAGATGATGTGAACTGCAATTCTACAAATTCTGCAACTAGCTAGTCCGAATTCAAAGTATGCCAACTAGTCACATAGGATCCGGGAATTTTGATGTTCTCCCGCAGAGTCAACAGGATCACGTCACAGTGTAGAAGATGGTCAATCGTCCACTGAACCTATCTCACTATTCTGATGAGATCACCTCGATTAGTCGGATTTCTCCTCATGATATAGTGCATAGTCTGTGGTGTGCGCTCCGTTATCCGACAGAGTACCACAATGGCAGTGGCGCATGCTGGACATGCCTGAGTTACTCTATTCGAAATGCAAATGTTCGCACCGTAGGGTCTGTTGATGTCCATTTGTTGGGGACCAACAGTACTGTACACTCAATATTTGTCAACAAACCAAATATGCACGCAGCACTCGGGGTAGAGCAGAGTCTTCGGGGGCTTCCCCAAATCAAAGGCAAACAAACGATCTCCTTATGAGGTTGGCTGTAAACAGGCCAATTGCGGAAACAAGCAGCTATGGTACTTTCGGGGCGCGGAGGGTTGTAGCCCAATCAGCGAGTTCTCTACACAAAGTTGCGAGCGTCTAACGAAGTTCGTGTCGAACTACAGCATATTTCAAACGGTGTTCCGACTGGAGCCAACGACGGAGCTCACAATCATGACAGAATTTCTAGATGCACTGAGCGGACTACGGCACTAACACACAAATGACCATCTCCTCATGCTGCGCAGCTACGACCACACTACCGCTCGAAAGACTAGTCACATTCGGCCGTATCTACAACTGGACCTGAAGTTGCGGCGACAGTTGAACGGAGACTTGCGAAATGAGCAAAGGAATACATTCTAATCAATTCTGAATATCCGAAGAAATGCGGTAAGTTCAAATCCCGCTTCGCCGACTGTCAAACTCCCATTGCATTCTGGTCACGTAGTTGACTCAGGAGGAGGGCAAACAAACCATCATTCGATTTGAAACATTAATGCTAAAGCGAATATACACTCATCTGCAAACTAATTTGGTTCTTTCGAGAGACTCACCTGGAACCCAGCTGAATCTCTCGTTTATGGTGTTCTCAGGCAACTGAATGTGCTGCACCAGGCCGCCTCATGTTTTAGTCGCTACGATATTTGAAATATCGCGATACATGTATATATTTGTAGTGTACTACTCATAAGGTTGCTGAAAATCCATCGACAGCTCACGACAGGTTTCGCCCTTCTTGGGGCTCATCAGGTAGGCGCAGTCCCCGGGTTTCCGTCAACCTTACGTTCTACTTGATGAGCCCCAAGAAGGGCGAAACCGGTTGTGGGCTGTCGGAGAGTTTTCAGCAAACTTGTGAGTAGTTTCCTTTGTGAAAACTAGA